GCAAGGTGACACTTGAAAACAAGGGGTAGGGGTAAAAATAAGAAATGGGATTGGACCTAAGGGCTTGAGCAGAGGTGCCATATTTATTTATAGGTTTTCTATAATGAATGTAAGACCTACATCATTTCCTTTGGTACAGCGAGTTTTACAGAATGATACATTTTATATTTTTGTGGAAGTCCTGAGGAGAGTGCCATGTCAAGCATGACGGCTGGCTAGTAACTACTTTGCCTTATTTTTTCCATACATTGCCATGTATCCATGGAGAAACTTACATAGGAGCCACAGTGATGCATGGTGTTAATGAACATAGATTAAAGCAAATATACATTCTGAACATTACACTATATGTTTTATTTCTACAAGTACTTAAAATCCTAAAAAATATGTATATAAGTTGTAAAAAAATATTGTATGTAGTAGCACTAGGAACAGGGCATCTTTCTGGCTTTAGGCAGCCCCGAATTAGAGAAATACCAAAGCTATGGCAAAAGCTAGAAAAAATGTATTAGTTTTATTGCTCCCTCATCCCAGCAAACATTGATTTAAAACAGAACAGAGGCAGACAGTTCAAATGCTACTGCACTGCTAGACAGGTAGAGCTGAGCGGGGGCAAAGTTAAAGCACAGCTAAAAAGAGCTACATTAGTGGACCAGAACCATGTAGAGAGCTAGTGAGAGCAACATGTGGAGAGGAACAGATAGAAGATGTCATTTGATTTATCTGTTATTTAAATGGAATCAATTCAAAGGTCAAATTCAAATTCAAAACAAAGGTCCCTCTAAGATGCCCACCTGCTACAGCATCTTCAAGAGCCATCAACCTTACTGTCCATGTAAAGGGCTCTGAAAGACCCATACACTTTTAGTACTCTGAGCTGTACCTCACTTACGAGGGGTTTTAGTCTCCCAGTGAACACATGTTCAGTTTTGTCTAGAGGAGTGTGTTATCTTTTTCAAATGATACTTATTTTGAATGCATGAAAGGTTACACTGTAATGACAGATCAGGTATAATTTATTGTCATGTATTCAAGCTAAAGTTAACATGCTGGCAAATTCATTGTTGTTTCCAACTAGTCTCTCAGGGCCATTTTTGATCTCATGAAAGTTCGTATGGTTGTCCTTGGACATTGTCGATACAAAATCATGTCTGCCCCCAGGAGACTAGCTTGAAACAACAACAAATTTGCCAGCATGCTAATGTTAGCTTGAATACATGACAAAATACTACACCTAATCTACAGTTACAGTGTAACCTTTCACATATACAAAATAAATAGCTAAAATGATAACAGTTAAGATTGAAATATGAGTGGGAATGTAGACTTATTGTCCCTTAGTTAAATATTTATTAACAGTCTATGTGCTTATCTGGTCTATTCAGAATGTTACATATCATACATGCATGCAACAACCAAAACAGATCCTTTGTATGTGTAACATACTTGATGAAATAAAGTGATTCTAATTCTGATTAGGGAAAAACAGTTCCATTAGCCAGTGATAGCATTTCACTCGCTAGCTTTTTTTACTCTGTTACTTTGTTACTGATAACTCCAGATGTTAAAAGAGCATGAACTAGAGAAATTTGTGGGTGGGATTTAGAGGGGATGTACCCTTGTTTGTGGTGTATTTCTAGCACCAAAATTAACCCCTTACATGGGCCCACCTGCAGGCCCAACGTTTTATTACACACTTCTATAACCTAATAGCTCAGCCAGTTTGCATAGAAGTCCCTGTAATTAGCTACAACAACACGGTTAAGCTTGGCATAGCATTAAAACAGAAAATTCAACATTATGTAGTGACGACACTAAACAATGTGTGGTCAATTTTTTCATTATGGTGATATTATTTGTTCAACCTCACAAACCATTTATGTCAAAGAATGCATTTGTGGGCGGAGCATGAATAGGTTAATTCTCTTCCTGAATATTTGAACTATGAAAACTATGCAGTTGTAAAAAAAGAAAACAAAAACTGTGTCTTTATAATTATATTTCAGTTGTATTTTAGCTGATCTGTGACCATGTTAAAATACATGAGTCAACTGCAGTACCTGTTCGGAAACTGTCCTTGTTGACGATAAAAACTTTGTGCTAAAATGGAAGGAAAGAGAAATAAGGTAGAAATAATTTAAAATCATACAATGCCAAATGCTATGTTACAAGCCTGAGGCTATTAGTGAATGAGTGCAAAAGCAAGAGCAGAAGAGATGGATGTTGAGAGAGATGGGAGGGAAGGGGCAGAGAGAAGAGAGAGAGAGAGAGAGAGAGAGAGAGAGAAAGAAAGAAAGAGAGAGAGAGATAAATGGCATAGGAGAGATGGATAGGCACAGAGAATGAGAGAAAAAGCGCAAGTGGGAGAGAGAGAGATGGATGGTAAAAGCGAGAGTGAGAGAGAAGGAGAGAGAGGGAGATGAAGGCTGACAGAAACAAACATCGTGAAAAGCAGGGCTAGGAGCAATGTGTGTGTGTGTGTGTGCGTGTGTGTGTGTGTGTGTGTGTGTGTGAGAAGGGTAGGAGCCAGATGCCTGCAGACAAACCACAGCCACCTGAGGCTATACTGGCACCAGCACAAAACAGAGAGAATGGGGTGAGAAAGAGAGAGAGACAACAAAGAGTGTGTCTGATCTGTTAGCTCTCTCAGTTACAAGCTCTTGCGCTCTCTCTCTCTCTCTCTCTCTCTGTCTGTCCTATTTTGCCTCCTACATGCATATTGTGTGAACGCTGAGAATTTCACGCACAGCTCAGAGGCCACAAGTTGAACGTGTGCGTCTCCTTGACAGACTGGCAGAGGTGGTAAAACGTACATCCTGTTACAGAGCAGTCTCACAGGGCCAGACATGATCTGGTAACGAGAACATCTGGCGACAACCATGAGAGATCATAGGCTAAATGTGGGTGGGAACGTTCACTTTTTAGGGTGGAAACAATCTGAGTGTGAAACTTCTAAACCAATCCACTGCTTAATGAGGACTGAGCTCAAAGTAGGGGGCAATACTGTGCTTGTTAACATTGTCCAACAGACTTGTCATTAGTCCACCGATGTACCATTAAGTTAGTACCACTGAACCATTAAGTTAGCATGGCAAAAAAGCCCTGCATAAAAAAAAAAAAACTCCAATTAAGCAAAAAGATGTGTGTTTTCTGCAACATTTTACATGCAGAAACCAAAAACCATTAGCCAACCAAAGTGTTTCGCTAGCTAGCTCACAAGCTTTCTCCAGGACATGAAGATCACTGACCTCACTATTTGATTCAATTACAGTTCTTTAGGACATGCATTTTTTTGGTGTGGTTATTTTTAAAAAAATGCACAAACATGATTGGAAGAAAAAGTCTTTTTTATAGATTTAAATAGCCTGAGAATTTCATTTTGGGTCAAACATAAGCACACACTTCACTGAATATTATTATGATCAGTTCTAAAACTCAAAACCCCTACCTCATGAGTAATAGTATTTTATTAAGTATAACTAAATTAGAGTCAATTCACTTTTACCTGAGTTTGGTTAAAGATTCTGCTTTTCACAGCTTCCAACCCAAGAAAGCAATCAGAAAGCTGGCTAACTAATCTAAGTAGATACTGTGTTCTTTTACTATTTTCTTTTTCCAGACTGCCAGCCTATGAAAATCTCTTATGAAAGTCTCTTACTGACTGACTGACCGACCAATAGCTATTGTTGAAAGGCACATGTGCAGGCACTGCCCAAGACAAACAAAAAGTGGTGCTATACACTACAATTAAATAAAGCCATGTCATTGTCCTCATATTCATACATTAAATGTAGGGCTAATATACACATAATAAAAGACAGCAGAAGACATTCATTGGAATATGTCATGGGTCAGACAAAAAACACAAAAGCTGTTTCTGATAGAGCAGTAACACAGCTGTGAGTACAGAGTTTATCTGAGCTTGGGCTGTGTCTGACTAAAGTTGGATATTCTCGCCTTCAGTATATAGCAATTTTTAACTCTTTCAGGTGAGGATAAACTTATCGAGCACTAGCACACGACCTCTACATGCACTAGAATGTAAGCTTTAATAGTATTTTGATGTGTTGATCACTATTTTTATAATTAGCATTTTGTAATAAGTTTGCCAATGTAACAATAGCTAGCTTAAAAGCTCTAGTGCTAACACTATTAGCCTATATACAAATGGCTAGAGAACATGTGGTTTTTGCTCATATTTTATTTTATTATTTATACACTCTTAAGAGAAAGGTACATTTGCTTGACTTGATACATGATCCTGTGCAACTGTAGTTAAGTTTAGACATTTCTGCAAGTGGAGGTATTATCATGCTAATGACAGTCCTTGAGTCTGCTAATTTAGACCTAGCTAGAGAGCTAACTAAAACAGTCTTCATGGATTTCTTCATAAAATAGCAGTGGATAGAGCATGTCAGAATTATTATTACACATTTTGTCTTTTTGCTTTATTATTTCAGATTATTATTAGTGGTAGTAGCATGAATATGTATTGACAAAAAGTGTCAAAAAATTGTAAAAAATCTAAGTGGACATCCATCAGACACTATAGGCTGGTGGACTAAAAAGTTTTTGTATCCTCTACCCTAGACATTTGTGTTACACAAATAACATGCAGCTGATGGTGGTCCAGCAAAATTGAGCTTGCATATTCTTGTTCTTTGATTTTTCAGAATAACAAGAATAACATGACAGCTCTGTAATAAGCCTTAATCTGTTTACTTTTAAGTAGCCAATAAACTTAGAGAACCCTAGCCAAGATTGGACCTGCTTTCTGTAAGACAAATATTAACCTAAAGTAACTTCAAGTAATTACTTGTGTAGTTTCTCACCTTTCACTTTCTCAAATTTCCATGTTATCTATATTATCTATATTCTAGTGAATTACCATTACAGTTGTGATATTCTTACTGAAGTAAGGAGTTTCTGTAGTCTTTCAACACCTGCAGGCTGGACAGTGCGCAAACAGCAGGGAGCAGTTTGGAAATGAAGCTACTCACCGTTTTGGAGTCGAACTCTGGAGGGTTGTCGTTGATGTCAGTGACGGTGATTAGCGCAGTTGCTGTGTTGGACAGGCCGAAACTCAGACTGCCCTCCATGTCTGTGGCCTGTACTATCAGTGTGTACTGAGACACTTTCTGCAAACAACAAAGGGGAAAAAGAACTATAACACAGAGTACAGCAAAGCACACACTTACACACACACACGCATTTTTATAAACATATAGTATTAGAATATCCCAAATTTATACTTTATAACTTTATAATTTCATAATAAAAAACATATTATAAATAAATTAATAAATAAAAAAAAGTTAAGGATGCACTGAAATTATGCCCACTGAACATTTTCGGCCAAAAAAATTGTCAAAAATGGCAATGTCAGTTTTTAGGAAACAAGTAGGCCTACAACAAAATGTCAAAGTTTGTCAATTATCAGTACAGACTTTACAAATACCTTGAATGCTAATGAAGATGAGAAACAGTGATTGAAAACGTTGTTATTCCTTCGTTCTGCAACACCAATCAGCATAGATGTGTTCAAACAGTTTGAGCAGCAGATCAACAGTAGAGATGTTGAATATGTGGAGCCATTTCACAGTTTCTATGAGGGATATTGCACAAGTAATTTGTAACCAGTGTTCTTGCTAAGTATCGAGAGGTGGTAGACTTCTCTACTACTGATTTGATTCCACTTGAAAATACAACATTCTGCTCAATACGCAGAACACGGTAAAACAACAGAAGCAGAAAGGAAAGTCCCCACTAGACTTCTGACGCCATCTGTAGCCACAGTTATAGAAATGATGAAAAAATTGACAAACAACAGAGCCAAAGTGCAAAGTATAACTGAAAAATGAGAAAATTCATTGCCTTGCATGACCTACAGCTCTCTGTAGTTAAAGACTATAATCATTTTTGTTAAATACACAATACACTATTTTATTTTTTTATTTGAAACTGCACATGCCTTATTCAAATATGTAATTAAGTAAACAAATTCTAAGAACAGTTTGGATACCCACAAGAATATCCCTGCTGGTTTCTATAACATTACTACATTAAGACATATTGTGGCCTTATTCAGCATTTTAATTAAACTGCATGTTATTAATAGTGTTTTGTCCATTTTAACCTGCAGCAGTGAAACACATTTCTGCCCTTCAAAGATGAATAAAAATGATTTGTTGAGTTAAATGCAGTCTAGCAGTCGGCACCCACGACTCAAAAATGAACATTTGGCATAATTCACCGTATTTATGGCCCTGAATGCAGTGAAAAAAAATCCTCTCCGACATCTAGGCCAAAGCTGTTTGCTGTCCATGGTGCTGAAATTCTTTCTCTGTCTGATTCAAGTGATTCCACACCGGAAAGAAGCAGAGAACTGCCAAAGTGTCTCTCAGCTCCTGCCTCATTAATCCTATTGACTAAAGGCTGCCTTTGCATGAAAAGCAGGCAAGCATGTCAAGGACAGGAGTGAGTACAGTCATGGGGATCCTGCTGACCGTTCACACTAACCTGCTCATATACAGTACAAAAGCCTCCAACACTACATATCAAATCTGTCAGTATTTAATTTGTCCACTTTTTCCTTTTGTGCACTCTACTGCCACTTTTACTCTTCCATTCTTCCAGCATTAAACCCAACCAGTTACAGCTGTGTCCTCCCAACAAAACTGTTACCAAAAGATCACTGACATTATGTTCCCTTTAATTGTGACACTAATGGTGCATTCAGACTTGGCAGGTTTGGTTCGATTAAAGCGAACCTGGTGCGACTGCTTTGTTAATGCAGTTCGTTAGAGCAAGTGAGAATGTTGCCATCAGAACTCTGGTGCACACCTAATAAGCAGGTTGGTCTTGGTTCACTTTGTAACAAACTCTGGTACAGTTCATTTGATCTATGAATGCCAAACGGCAAAGACATCTAAACCAGACTTGACCAAAGTCAGAATGAACTGTCGTCTCCTCTCAGCAGAACTTTTTTGGTATGTTGAAAAGACGAGTTTCTGATGCTGTTTTGATGCATGTTTCATCATCTCTTCATAAGCTCTGAATCGGCAATCATAAAACAGATAGTTTCAGTTTTTAAATGAGGCTGAGGCAAGTTTAAAGTCATTATAAAACACTCGATATACATATATGACTGCACACATAAATTACATTATATTAAGGCACCAAGGTTTCTTTGCTTTGTAAAAGCAGTAAGCCACTCGAGGCGGTTACATGAATCTCACCCTGCTTTGCAATGTGCAAAAGCGCAGCAGCGCAGGGAGTTTCATGGCTTATTGCTTTAATATCACACGACAGTTAAAACAAGATAAATAAAAACAACGAGCCCAGATAGAACAGAGAACAGCCTGATTCAGAAAGTTCAGTGGACATCATCACAGCTATTGTACATCAGAAAATCTGTCCAATCAGTTGTGACCCTTTACCCATATTACTTTTGTTTACTTTCTTTTGATGTGAAATATGTTGAAAAATGCGACATGTAATTTTCTGCTTTGGTATGGACCAACGGAACCAAACTACAAATATAAACAACCCTAACATTCACGAAAGCAACTACCTAAACACACCTCATTTGCTTTGCAAATTTCTCATGTACATCTGAAACGACTGAAGGAGATATTTCTGATGAGATTAGATATAAAATAATCCACTTGCACAAGGAAGGAGAAAGTGAAGTGGAAAAGTGTGAACAGGAGTTTCCAAAACTCTAGTTCAAAAACAACAATAAAGGTTAAAAGAAAATTTAACTCCTAACAACGATGCAGGACCTAGTAGACCACCAAATCTGTCACCGTGACCACTTTAGAATAAGAATGTATGAATGGTTTGAAATTATTTTATTAGTGGTTATTAGTTAGGTCATAACACTTTACAAAGCATTAATAAGCAGTTATACTAATAAAAAGGGCAAAAGTGAGCTGTTCAGTAAACATCAAAATCTGAGGTTAAACAGTATGAATGTGGGTTTACTATTAGGCAAACAACAGGTCACTGTTGCTCTGTTTATTTGCTTGTTATAACTGCTTATTAATGAATTTAATTAATAATCAAATATAATAAACTAATTTCATGCTTTGAATACTTTTCAAAGCAGTACCCTGTAACCATCACTTGAACAGCACTTAAAGCTTTTATCTTTGAGAGAGGAGAAAATCAAGCTCCACTCTTGCATCTATTGAAAAATGTAGTTGTTGAGACTTACATGCAATTTTCTGTTGATTACATGTTTTCTGCTTTCTTTTCTGATGCTGAAAAATGAATAAGTTGTTCTTAAATGACTGGAAATTAAATAAATAAAATGGTAGTCTCTGACTTTTGCATAGTACAATGAACACACTACACGTACACTCTCATAATCTTTAATACATAAAATCTGTATTTATTTCTATAAACATTATTTATATAAATATAAAATGTATATATTCTGTTACACATGCAGATCAATGGTGAAAAATGAGCACATACCTTATTAAATATTTTAGCTGATTCTAACTTTCCAAAATCAATGTAGCTGAACTGCCACCTTCACATTGTACATTTCAACACCCCTTACACACAAACTCCCTCTTTCCCTCTGATGTGGTCAGTGTATTTAAGAGGCAGGCAGGTCCGAGGCTCTTTAGAGGGGCCGCTCCAAAGCACTTAACCTCCAGCGGAACACTTTGGCCCGGCCTGACCGCTCATTAAAGCAGCATGTGCATGTTACTGCAGTGGCCAGATCCACAGCTCAACAGTGGCCAGCGGCCTTTTATTATGCACACATAATGAAATATCGATAGCAACTCCCTTATGCACTGCAGCGAGAAGGTGAAACAAATCACAGTGTAATTAATCCACAATCACCGTTTTCAAACAGAGACAGCGGGAGTGATGAAGGCCAATGGTGGGCAAGCTAGAATGATTAAAGAGAACACACAGGGTCAGTCTAAATTCATTCATTCAGCCTTGTTCAGCTTGCAGAGTGAGACAGGGGAAAAATCTCAAACTGACCATCAATCCCACATGCACATATATACATACATTTACTAGCCACACCAACACTGTTATTTTACTTTGCAGATGCACAGTTAGAGACAGAAACACATCTGTTGATGCACAGTTAGGCTAATCATCATCTAGTCCTGACCACAGGACCACTGTTGGCTAGATATTTTGGTTGGCTGACTTTTCTCAATTCACCAGTGAAACTGAAATAAGCATGTTCCAGTATAAAAAATGCATCACAGTTTACATTATTATGATATTACATAAAAAATGACATTTACAAAATATCTTTAATGCCATAAACATATATTCTAAAAGCCATTTTCAATGGCAGGGTACATGTGCAATATTTATAGTCAGCACTGGAGATAAAATCCTGACCCGACCCGAACCACATCAAAGTCTGAAAATGACCCAAGTATAATAAGGTTCTGTCCAAAACTGACCCAAATCACCACATCATCACCAATACCCAATACATCAATACCTATCATTAGTTAACAGACTAATAAAATAAAAAAAGCTAAAATAATAATATCTCAAAATAATCAACTGTCTAAAATTAAGTTTAAATTCCACTTGAACAAGTTTATCCTTCACACAATGCTTCCAAACAACTTCCCAAACGTGTTCTAGTCTGGATAAGCTTTCCATACTGCGCTGCAGTGCTGATATTGCAGAGTGTTAACCTTCACTGTTGCTGACTTAATCTTAAAGCTCTATTTCAATGCATATAAAATATTACATATAAAAATATTTGGGCAAAATTAAATATAAATGTCCTTCTGGCTGCACTGAACTGTCTTGTCTCTCCTGACACGATTCACTTTTTTTTTTTTTACTTACATTTTCTCACAAGCGAAGACCTCTGTCAACAGCACTCAAGCATGCCAGATTAAAAGCTATTTTAAGGTGATGAATCTAAAGATGAGGAATAAAGCAAGCAGAAAAACTAAAGTGGGAGAACACAGGGTAAAGTCTGTAAGAACACAAATGTGAAATCTAAACCTGAAACAGGTTCAGAAAAATATTACTAGATAAATTATATCTGGACAGTGGTGATTCTGTGGTGGTCCCTCTCCACTGATGGAATATGCAGAGGAGGACTGATACACTGCAGCAACAGCTCGGCTACAGT